CAGAACATTATCTTTATTTGAGAGGCACAGATAACAAGGTGACATTTGTAATAACATGTGTATAAATATATATATCAATATTAAATAACTTCAGAAAATAGTTAAGTTATGAAATTAATCTAGAGATATTTAATATTAATTTTGTAAAGGTCAATACTAATCATTATTGTTGAAACAAAAGCAGCAGTTGCATTTATTATTATGACATAAATGCTCCCCTTTATTCAGTTTTATTAAATAAACTGATTTAAAAAAAAGAAATGGTTAAAAGAAGATGGCATACATTAAGGTAGAAGAACAAAAACAAAAATCTTTGAACACTAAATGACTATTTCTTCACTTAAAAATGTTTTTGTTAACATTTTCTGAAATATTGCACGATTATAATAAATTCTATCATATAGTCAAAATAAAGGAAAATATATTCGTTTTCAATATCAAACTAACAACAGGTCTCGTTTAAATTTTAGGAACATATTAATGTTAGGTTAATGAAAATATTATATTTTTTATCACTTAAGGAGCATAAAACATTATTTTATATCAGTCTATTGAAGAATATGCCACCAGTTTTTTTGTTTTTGTTTTTTTTATAATGAAACTCATACTGAACTTTTGTCAATGTGATTTATTTAGATTTTGAGACAAGGGCGAATCCTTGTTCAGTTGATGAAAATTAATATAATTATATTCCTTGCACAGCACATGGCACCAAATGTGAATGTGGAGGAAACCTGAATCACAACAGCCTTTACATATTATTGAGGCTACAAAATAGAAAGAAAATAGTTATTACGGTCATGGTTCCATTGTAACAATCAAAAATAGTTTTACTCATATAGTAGTTAATCAGGTTACCCATTGTGCATTAAAGGAATCTTGCGTGAATCAATGTGATGTAACCTTTCAATGATAACTTACTAATTTCAACAAATAAATCACAATATTTCAGCATATTTCCCAGATTTTATAACTAACAAATAATTTCTGATTTCGCATCTTAGCTATTAAAACTAATGTTTGCCATTCCTAAAGAGGGAAACATTTTATCGTTTGTGAGGCATAATGTCTTTGAAGAACACATGTATGTCAAAGAACGTTCCAAATGAATAATAGTTACACTGATCGGTTACTCAATATCTGAATGAATATCTTAAATAAGTTAAGACAGGTGCTCACGCCACAAAGTTGAAGGCCTCAGTTATTGGTTGAAAAACCGCAAACTACCGACGACGCTTCTAGCACAAGATGAACAAAGCACACTGTTTAATTAGAAATGATATTCATATTTCGCCACTCAAACACTCATTAAGACCACATTAAATACAAGTTAGTTGTGCCTAAAAAGAGGTAAAGGGTCAGTAATTATAGAAGTCATTATAAATAAATATTAAGCACTATTCGTTATTCTAAAGAAATTGTTGTCATAAAAAGAAATAAATGCCTTTCAAAATTCACTCTGAAAGATTTTTTTATCCAACTACATGTTTATTTGAATCGACTGCTTTCAATTTCGTGAGGTATCTTTTCATATCGTATGGGTTTTTACAAATCAATTATTATCATTTTACATTAAATTATTTGTTGATAATCTCATATTGAAATGACTATCCCGCAAGAAAAGTTTGCATGTGCTTTTAATGTAAAATAAGGTTTTAGCTGGCAAACTAATCGTTTTGTTTTTAATTGCCTTTCCCTTTTAGGTTGATAAAAGCTATTCTATTCTTATGTAGCACGATATGGAAATAAATATGTTTTACTAAATGTCTAAGTTCATTAAAGGTAAAGCTTTAAATGTCGAATGTAGTTAAATGAAGGCCTTATATTATCAATAAAACACTACTGTGAGAGTTTTCAGAGGTGTTTATAAACCATATTTTATTTAATATTCCTTTAATTAAACTTACAATCGTGTAAAAGTTCCGATATTGCTGCTGCGTGTCATTAAGTGTCGATGCTGGTACACATAAATTGCTCGCTCGGTTCTTGTTTTAACAGAAAATAGAATTGTTAAATATCTTGAACCATGTTTTTATAGTTTCTATTTCACGCCATGCCTCTTTCAAAGTAACACTGTGCTATTTGAATCTGGTGTATATATGTATGTATGTTTGACCCCTACTAAACGGTGGCTGTTTCACATTTATGTTTAAATGAGAGCCCTCGACACTTCCTTTGAGGAGTTGTCGACCTAAACAAAGATGAAAAAGGTAAACACAATCTAAACATGTCCGTTTTTAAATGGTATGCTTTATTTTCTTTTAAAAATCGAAGAATACTTTGCCATGTAGAACATTGTCCTTATCATTTTGGATGCAATTTCGATACGACATATCCCAAAATGTCAATGGCACTCATTTAAACAGATCACCAAAATGTGACAGAGCCAACGTTTAGTAGGGGTGTATTCACATATACAAAAGTGAGACCTAAATAAACAAATTGTCTTGTAATGTCTATTCAATTTGTGACAAAGGAAAGTAGTATCAAACGTTTAGATATTTTAGTGAACTGTTTTACTTTTTACAATAGTCTTGCGTTGAATCATGTGATTTATTGAACTTTTATGGTAATGTCTATTAAATAAAAAAAAGTGAAAATTAATATAGATACAAAGTTCATGTAGTTTCCAGAATCCAGAAGTGTTCATCGTAGACCAGTAAATTATAATGATAGAAAAAAACATTATAATTAGACAAATTTTCAAACTAATTTACTACATTATATATTATTATATGATTTAAATATAGCTGCAATCTCATTGGTCCACATGAACATTTCATAATACTGAACTTTGACGAGAGACTGTTTGATTAGTTGTAATGTACCTTAACAATAATTTCAGGTTATTCAAATATTTAAAGTAGTAAAACTTTAAATATCTAGGAAGTAAATATAAATAGTATAAACAAACTATATTAATAGTAACAATAAATTGATATTTCAAGTATGAATATATAATATACGGTATATGATGTTTTTGTGAACGGCCACCGTGTTTTTCTTTCATTTAAATTCATTTTTCAGCAATTGATTGCAGGAGTAAAACAAAATTTACCAAAGTAACTTTGTCCACAACGGTTTTATCCGCAGCCACCTGTTCTACTCTAAGGGCCCGTCTACACCTATCCAAGTCTTGAATGCAAGTATCATATTCTCTTGTATTGCATAGTGTAGACACCCTACTTGAATGAGTTTTAAGGAGAAATTATGTGACATCCAAGAAGATAATTCCTTGCAAGAAAGTTAAGGCCTCAACAGACGGTAGGATTTAGTTGTACAGCACTAATTAGAGATAAGATGTACAATTTTCAAAGCTATATAACACTTGCATTCAGACGGTAATTCTACACTGTAGAATCATCTCAGGTTTCCCCTAAAAAGGATCCCTTTACATTGATCCTTTACATACTTTACTCACGAAATACTTTTTTCGCCATGAGTAATGATTGAAACACCTCCATTTAAAAGAAAAATATATATATATTATATATATATAAGCAAAAACGCTATTTAAATTTGCCGTAGCTTTCGGCCTTGCGGCCTTCTTCAGCAGCATTTATTTCACATACAAATATATCAAACAAAACAATGGAAGTGACGTAACGTCAATGAACGACGCCCGCTGTGGCGTTGGTTGCCGTCTGCCGCGTTATTCTTTTGTATTAACTCCATACGGTCTATAGGTTCTTAATTTATTTTTCCACAAATTTTCTATTGTTTTTCTGTATTGGTCATTCCCGTATAGCTTTTCCAGCCCCATTATCGAAAAATCTTTAACTGTGTGGTCATTCGTGTAAAAATGCGCCGCTAACGGATCGTTGTACTTGGTTCGTATTCTGGATAAATTTAGAAGGTGTCTTTGGTACAACCTCAGATAGAATGAAGGAAATATTCCCGAATCCACCAATTGCAGCATTTAGAAGAGATAATAATCTACAAGACATTCTCGTTCATAAGAAACATAATAAACTATTTTTTCAACAGCCGAATTCCTGTGCTCCTTGCAGATCAAAAAGTGTGCGATTTGTCCGTACGTTATTGAAGCAGACACATTCATTGGTGTGAACGGGGCCTCGTATAAGGTTCGAAATCAGATCACGTGCAAATCTACGAATGTTGTGTATGCAGTTTATTGTAAGCGTTGCGAACGTTATATTTATGTTGGAGAAACAGGGGATACGTTGTACCAAAGACACCTTCTAAATTTATCCAGAATACGAACCAAGTACAACGATCCGTTAGCGGCGCATTTTTACACGAATGACCACACAGTTAAAGATTTTTCGATAATGGGGCTGGAAAAAGCTATACGGGAATGACCAATACAGAAAAACAATAGAAAATTTGTGGAAAAATAAATTAAGAACCTATAGACCGTATGGAGTTAATACAAAAGAATAACGCGGCAGACGGCAACCAACGCCACAGCGGGCGTCGTTCATTGACGTTACGTCACTTCCATTGTTTTGTTTGATATATTTGTATGTGAAATAAATGCTGCTGAAGAAGGCCGCAAGGCCGAAAGCTACGGCAAATTTAAATAGCGTTTTTGCTTATATACGGCAAGTTAGAGATTTTACTTTTATAAAACAACAACAAATATGAAGCAGACTACGGAAGCAGTGGAATTGAGCCGCCTACGGAAATTGATAGAAAAAATAAATCGATATGATAGTCATAAACATTTTTTGAAGGAGTGCTTAGAAAAACAATTAGTGCCAAACGGTTTTGATATCAAATGGAAATTGGACTTTGACATAAATGGAGCGGAAAAACGGCGGGTAGAAGATATACTTTCGTCAACTTCACGATCATTGATGAATGTAGCAGTAGATGTTTGTAACAGAGTAGTGTCTAGTACAACAACAAAACACAATGAATTGGTAAATACATTTAAATTACATGTTAGTGAAGACATTTTCTCTACAGAAATGAGTAATCTCGAATCTATTTCATTACAATCGAAGATAAATCTTTTACGTTTGAAAAAGCAAAAAATGAAAAAACTTAAAACTACGCGACAGAATAATCCAAACGGCAGTTTGATAGAAGTAGAAAAAGATGGGAATTGTTTCTTCCGTTGTGTTGCTTATGAGATTCTGGGGGATTCATCTAAACATAGAGAAGTTAGGAATACGACAGTAGAATACATAGAAAATAATGAGTTGTACTTTTCAAATTTGATTGATGGCAGTTTTAGAGATCATGTACGGAACATGCTATTAGTAAATGGAGAAACGTGTTCATGGGCTACTGAAGCGGAAGTTACGGCTGCAGCAATGTGTTATGGTATCGACATATATGTGAATGTGATATGTGGTCTACAAAATAATTGGCTTAAGTTTCCTATGCAGGAGGGTGATTCATCAAGAAGTAGTTATTTATGCTTAAGACATATGAGTGATCATTTTGATGTTTTGCGCATGCCCCACAAACCGGAATTAGATGTACACAACCCCAATGACTTGATTCATTCCCCAAAACCGTTCACGGATAAATTAAAGAGGACGTCACCGGAAGCTTATGAAAATATTCCAAATTCCGGAATTACAGATATTGGTAAACAGGAAGCTGTTTGTTAACATGTCGTCAACAACGCTGAGTGACGCACAGCTGTCTCTACTATCAAAAGGATTGAAATTTGTACCGACACGGAGAAATATAGATAAAGGCAAACTTATAACTGATTTAAACACGTGGGAACGCCGAATTAGACTACAAGAGTATTTTCATGACAAGAAAACAGAAAACGATACACAAAATGAATATGACAGTAAAAAAAGAAGCAGTCAACGTGGACGCCAAGTGCGGGTAGGGATAAATGGTTAGACTCATACATCAAGAAAGTAAAAGATGATATAATTAATGGGCTAAAAAAGAAAATTCAAAACAAATATTACAAGAACTGAAGAACAAGCAATGAAAGAGCTCTTAAATAATGATACTTTAGTTATACGTCCGGCGGATAAGGGTCTGGTATCGTTGTTATGGATACAGAGGACTACAGAGGTAAACTTCAGGCCGACATGACTGACAATGCCACTTATATGGAGGTGAACGAAGATAGAACGAAAACTATTGAAAACAAAGTGAAAAAGATGGCAGATGATATGTGCAAGAAAGGATCAATTTCAAAAGATTTAAAAGGATATTTGACGTCGTCTGGTGGTACATCGGGTAAACTGCAAGGTAATCCGAAACTGCATAAAACAGGGTGCCATTGAGAACAATAGTAAATGGGAGAAATCATCCTACGGAGAAAATGGCAGAAATAGTAGAAATGGAGCTACGCGCCCATGTGACATCACTTCCTTCATATATTAAAGACACCACTGATTTCTTAAGAAAATTAGAGAATATTAAACAACCACTTCCGGCAGGAACAATTCTTTTCTGTTTAGACGTGAAAGCTCTGTACCCAAGTGTCCCACGGGCAGAGGCACGAGATGCGGTTGCACGTGCATTAAATCAACGTGCCAACCCTAACATACCCACAGAAGATGTTCTTAATATGATGGACACTGTCCTTGAAAATAACACTATTTCATTTGATGGAAGAAAATTTACGCAGACAGAAGGAACAGCGATTGGCTCACGATTAGGGATGAATTACGCATCTACATATCTTGGATCATGGGAATCACAGCTGATGACGATAACAGATAAACTTCCGCTTGAGTATTTCCGGTATGTTGATGACGTTTGGGGCCTTTGGACTCACGGTATCGAGTCGTTAAAAACATTCCATGAGCTTGGGAATAACCTTCATCAAGAATAAAATTAGAATTAAGATATTCAGCTGAAAAACTTGAGTTTCTCGACGTAATGACGAAGATTCAGAATGGCATTTTAATAACAGACCTATACACTAAACCCACAGATAAACACCTGTACTTGCATAAAAATTCGTCTCATCCGGAATCGACAAAAAAATCAATACCATATGGACTTGCCCTCCGTGCTAAGCGAATATGTACTAATGAATCGACTTACAAACAACATAGAGAAAATATTAAAACTCAGTTACAGAAACGAGGCTATGAAGATCGACATATTGAAACAGAATTAAATAAAGTAGATAGTAAGAAAAGAAGTGACCTATTACAGTATAATGAAGATAAAGTAAACACTGAAAGAATCCCCTTGGTACTGACATTTTCCAGAGCGCTCCCGAATGTAGGACAAATAGTACGAAAACACCTACCTGAATTACACACCTCAGATAGAATGAAGGAAATATTCCCGAATCCACCAAATTGCAGCATTTAGAAGAGATAATAATCTACAAGACATTCTCGTTCATAAGAAACATAATAAACTATTTTTTCAACAGCCGAATTCCTGTGCTCCTTGCAGATCCAAAAAGTGTGCGATTTGTCCGTACGTTATTGAAGCAGACACATTCATTGGTGTGAACGGGGCCTCGTATAAGGTTCGAAATCAGATCACGTGCAAATCTACGAATGTTGTGTATGCAGTTTATTGTAAGCGTTGCGAACGTTATATTTTATGTTGGAGAAACAGGGATACGTTGTACCAAAGACACCTTCTAAATTTATCCAGAATACGAACCAAGTACAACGATCCGTTAGCGGCGCATTTTTACACGAATGACCACACAGTTAAAGATTTTTCGATAATGGGGCTGGAAAAGCTATACGGGAATGACCAATACAGAAAAACAATAGAAAATTTGTGGAAAAATAAATTAAGAACCTATAGACCGTATGGAGTTAATACAAAAGAATAACGCGGCAGACGGCAACCAACGCCACAGCGGGCGTCGTTCATTGACGTTACGTCACTTCCATTGTTTTGTTTGATATATTTGTATGTGAAATAAATGCTGCTGAAGAAGGCCGCAAGGCCGAAAGCTACGGCAAATTTAAATAGCGTTTTTGCTTATATACGGCAAGTTAGAGATTTTACTCTTATATATATATATATATATATTTTTTATTTTTTTTTAATGTGAAGCCTGACCGAGACTCAAACATGGGACCCTCGGAATACGGTACTGTGGCTCTACTGACTAAGCTATCTGGCCGCCTACAAACTACCTCCGCTCCCCTAATTAGAGAACAATTCAGTACCATGACATAATCATTTTCGGAAAAATTTGGGATTCGAACATAACACAACTTTGGTTATCTGTTACTTGTCATTGTGGGAGGTCTGAAAAAATCGGTACAAGATTTTCAAAATAGAACATGTCCTATCCCTTACATCTAGACTTAAGGTTTCCGAAATCAAGACATAGTAGCCTTCATACATTAAGATTTGTCTGTACATCTTAGTTTAAATTGGTGTTGGTACTTCAAAATCCTACCGTCTGTTGAGGCCGCTTAGAACACGTTCTATCTATTTTCTACAAGTTTTTGGCTGTCAAGACACTGATAACACCGATTTGACACAAAACATAATGCCCAAGAAGTGTGATAGTGTTGTTTTTTTCCATTATTTGTCGACTATTTTGTTACTGATTCAGTGTTCATGGAACTTGTAAATTTTGTAAATGTATACAATAATCTTGGTCAGAGGAACAGATGCATTTACACTGATACACAGGAATAGCAAACAAAAAAAATCAATAAAAAAAATCTGTTATTCAAGTAGTCAAAATAGATTTTAAAATGATCTTGTTTCATTTGTGAAAAACTTTCCAAATCAAATAAAGAATTTGCATCAATTTATCAAAAGCTCAAAAAATTTTTCTCACATTTTCATTATTTTTGAAAGAAATGTACACTTTCAATTTCATTTACTCCCCAGTATTGTTTTCAGCTAATTGCATTCATTTTCCCCCCCGCTCTTTTTATGCACATATTTTACAAGAAACATGAATAGTATTGCAAAGACAAAGGTATAAATCCCGGGCAATCTTAATTAGACACATCAGTAAAAATTGTGCCTGATTAAATGTTGAAAAGGGCCATTTATTTAACTTATCTAAATGTGACATGTAAGAAACTTTAATAGGTGTAGACGCGGCCTACACTGCCATACGGGATTGAGCTCTAATTTCAAGATTCCCCTTTGTACATAGATAGACACACACGATTTGATTTCTTACATGTTGTTATAATGACATTATATTTGATTTTTGAAGACAAAATAGCAAAATAATATGATTAACCAAGTGGATAACTAAATGCTATATGATAGTGGATATATATTCATGTCATTCAACTTTGTTTTATTTTTATAGTTTGTCTCTGTGTGGTATTGTTTTTTTTTGCCATGGGTATACTTTTCCCGTCCATGCCCGTTGCTATTCGATGGTTCTTTGTCTGGCTGTACGTTCTGGGTGCTGCGTTCAATGAACGGCGCCTTAATATTCATTAGTTTCCAACTACATTAATAAAAAGGTTTATAATAAACGATTATTTTTTTACAATAAACAGCTTTGTAATTGTTTTCATATGACAATATCCCACGCAAACATCATTATGTATAAATTGTATTGGGCATTTTACTATCTTATTTTTATCCGAACACGTATATGTAATGGTGATCAACGTTTATAAATAGTCATAGTGACGATAATATTGTGATCGAAAATAGACAGTATTTATCACAATGTAATTGGATCTTACATCACCGTAATCCATATGCATGGATGTAATTTTCCAGTGCCATTCCCGTACTAATATATATTGGATACACAAAAAATCTAATATATTATCAAATCAGTGTAGTTTTTACATAAGTTCTAACGTATATCCAGATATATGAACAGGGCATAAGTAAAGAATGTTTTTGTAAGATTCAGTTTATTTATTATTATTTTTTGGTTTGTGTAACAATGTTAGTAGCTTGATTTTTGAAGAATATTTTGCCACAGGTGCACAATTTTCTCCTGTAAAGATAATAGAAGTAGTGCCAAGCAAGTTCTTAGACTTCAATAAATGAGATAAAATAAATCTCAGTGCTGTTTTAATTCATTTGGTCATTCGGGATCATTTGTTCCTAACCTTAATTGTGTGTGATTGACTATCGCGTTACCCGGTTTTTTGGTGAATGAGACATGTTGCACTTATCATTTTTATCCACAGAAAATGAGCACTAGAAACTATTTGTTTTTGTTTCCTTTGTTTTTGAGGGATCTCCTCTTTCCATAATTTTTATAATATGTATAAGTATTTGTATATCGGCTACCGCGTTCTGATGAACCAATGTTGTAATATGCTTATTGATATTCACTGGTTTTATAGTTTCAACACGTTAAACCAAATATTTTTCGATCTCAATCTTTCCATTAAAGTAAATTCTTTTGGCGATAACAACAAAAGCAGAATTACTCAAATTAGGATTAAGTGTACACATATTGTTTTACTACTTTGCTGTCAGAGCATGACATTAAAGTGTCAGACTGAAGGTTTGAACTAAATAACTGACAAGGAACTGGTGAGGTAAGGTATGTCATAATACATTGAATACTTTCTCCGAGAATTGTTACTATATTTTGTGATTGATTTTCGAATTCGCATGATTATGATCAAAAGAATATGCATACGATTTCATTATAAAAGCGTGCCTTAAGCATAAAATACGTGTTGTCATTATTCAAAATTTGAGCAAC